GATGGTAAATTATTCGGTTCAAATTTCGGTGGAGTTAACTCCCATATTGATTGAGGCTTTACTTAATTTCTCCTTCCTCTCTGTCAAACATCTTATTTTACTTCTTCGCACTCCTGCTTCGCATTTTGAAAGTTCCAGGTTTGATTCTCAATCCGGAGACTGGTTATTTTCACTGAAATATTACCATGGTTTTCCTCATGCTCTCCAAGAAAATGTTGACTAGTAGGTTAAAATACGCTACAATTCCTTCCGTTCACGTCCCTTTAAATTCATTGTTGATAATCAATCATTGGACGATACAAAACCTATACAATTGGAAAGGCGTCATTAAATGTCCCAGGAATCGATCATTTAATTCTCATTCCTTGAAGAGAAATGTCAGAGGCGGTACCTTCCGTGATGACAGCGTGCAACATTTCGGGATACGAATTCTTCCATGTGCGAAAGAGGCATTCCCATCTTTTAAAATTTAAATCTTGACATTTGCCTTTGTGACAGGTTTGAGACAGTATCGGCGAAGGCAGGACGTAGCATGTCAAATACAAGATTTAATTAATCCAGTGGGAAAGTAAAAGATTTCTTACAAAGGCGCAAAAAAGAGAACAGGGGCTAAAGAAGAAATGAACGCAAGTGTACAGCAGGAAACGCCAAGATGTCTGAGTATTTCAATATCTTTGTCAACTTTCTAAAATAAAAGTATGGTGACCGTAAGTGGCGAGGTAATCTCACGATTGTCAGTTTCACATTGTGTGCGCAGAGTTGTCATCATTCTCACGATCAGGTGAGTGTTTTTCCCAACGCAGTCGACTATTCTGTTCTCCAAATGTGTGTCCAACTCTGCAGCCAGAGTGATCTAATGCTCTAATAAACGCCGTAATCCTTTATGCATGAAAACCCACTGGGATTTAAAGACTTAAAGCACAAGTATAATATTCATGTTCAAGAATTTGTTTGTAATACCAACTGTAAAAGTTATGGCACAGGGACACGCTGTAGCGTAATTGGCTGAGGCACTACGCTACAAGATGGGTGCTTGCAGATTCTAGTCGCGATGAGGTCATTGGATTTATTTTCAATTAACCTAATCCTTCCAGCCGCACTATGGCCCTGGGGTCGACTCGGCCTCTAATAGAAATGAGTACCAGGAATCTTCCTGGGGGATAGAGGGCGGCCGGCGCGTAAGACTGGCAACCTCACCGCCATCTGTGAGCCGAGTGTCTATAGGAAATGTGGGAGCCTCGACGTCTCACAACCCTATGGGCCTATACTGACTGTTACAGCGGTAGTTTTTGCTTCTTAATTTTTTACCAGTTATGACGTGAACTCATGAAAACCGATCTCTTTCTACCCCTTTTCTTCAATCCTTATTGAATCTATTTCTCCCTTCTTCATTTTCTCACTCTCTCACTTCGTTCCTTCCACCCTCTCTCACTTCCTCATTGCCTTACTAATGTTCCTCACTTGTTTTATTGCCAGATTCTGCTGATGACATTCATTTGCGTGAACCTTTGTTCAACGGCCATTTTAATTCTGTATCTGTGTCATTTGCTATATGCACCTGTCTGTGCAACAGCAGTCTGAGTACAGTAAGATATGGCTATGATGGAACTCCAAGGGACCGGATTGTTTTCGTTGTACGCAGGTTTCCGTTTAATAGAGATATATATAAATTAAAGATTTGTTTTCAGATTTCTCTTTTCCGTAACATCCAGACCGGTTCTTGAGCTCACCCAGCCTCTTATAAAATGTTCTCTGGGGGTAAAGCGACAGGGACGTGAAGCTGGCCATTCACTTCCATCTAGTTCGCATGTTAAGAAGAGTGCAGCTATACCTCCACTCCCCATAAATCTTGATGGCTTGGTGCGTATTTAATTAAGCCCAGAGATGACTTTACCTTGCGTACCCTATATACGAATTTAGGAGCCCGGATTGCTCAGTCGGTACAGCGACGGGCTACGGGCTGGACGGCAAGTGTCCAATAGGGGCAAGAGGTTTTTCTCGTCTCCACAGTGTCCAGATGACTGGAGCCCACCCAGTCTCCTACCCAATGGGAACCCATGTCTGTTTAATTTGGGTTCAAACGGCCGGGGCCTGAAGCTGGCCATTCACCTCCACTGGTCCTATAGAGATTTCCTCGCCGCAACAACATGTGTCCCGCACCACATCTCATATCATTTTATCCTTACATAATTAGGTGTTCCACAGCCAGTTCACATGCGGAGTGCGCTTCCTAAGAGTAGAGGCGGCTGGAGCATAAAACTGTAATACTCTTCTGTGTTGGAGAAATCTAGAATATATTGAGTTATTTCTTGACCCTACGGCCGCGCCATAGCTCAAGCGGTTAGCCGCTGTCTTCCCACTGCGGCGGCCCGGGTTCGATCCAGGGTCTGGTCAAGTGGGATTTGTGGTGGACAAAGTAGCGCTGGGACGGGTTTTCTCCGAGTACTTCGGATTCCCCTGCCAATCTTCATTCCACCAAATTCTCCATTATCATAATCACCCGGGACAGTCTACAATAGGCCAATCAGTGGTCGCCGTGCCGAGTGGACCAAGTTGGACTCCACCCCCCACTAAACGAATTTTAAAAAATAATTAATTATGCGTCATCATAACTTGGTTCTTACGTCCGAAGGCACGTCTATATTGAATTTTCACCCGCTGTTTAAATTTTGATTAATTTACGGCGTTATCTCTCAAATTACCTTACGTACAGAAATTTCGCTCCTCCTCTCATAAATTTTACAGTCAGTCCAAATTAAGCAGAAGATGAATACTGTTTCGCATTGCTTGTCTTTTATTCCCAGGTTTCTTATCTCTCACAATACTTAATGGATTACACTTGTTTCCACTTGCATTTCATGTTCTCTCGCAGAAACCAAGATCTACACCGATTCAACATCTCCTGAAAAATAAAGACAATGATTTCAAACCTTTCAGTGGAGGACCCAGCACGTGCTGTTCCTATTTCGAATGTTCAAAGGTCAAGTGTTCTGTGGGCGGCTGTACAGCGCCTGCCCCTCTTGCATTGTATGTTAATGTTCAAAACATCTTCCGGATATGAACTGCATGACCAAGAAATTATGGTCGTGAACTGATGATGCATGAGCAAACGAACCACATTCGTACTTGAAAACGCTTTTGGCGTAAAGAAGGGAAACCGGGGCTGAGAGGTTTAGAAAACGTCGAGTAGTGTTGGCAAACACGAGAGGGTTCTTTACTCAGTTTAATTAACGGCGTTCTATGTCATGACTTCATCGATTGATGAGGTCATTCAGCGGCCATTTAGTATTATTACATCTGTCGACACAATTGGTTATAAAACTATACAAATACAGATTATTTACAATAAAATCTTAAAACTTTGGAACACGATATGTTTCAACCATTATTGGGTCATCATCAGGTGTATTGTTTGTGCTTAGGTGCTGAACTTCTTTTTAATATGGATCCATATTTTGAATATCACTATGTTTTTATTGTATTTGGAGAGGTTGGGTTTCCCCATGCACTTAGACCAACTGTTGGTCCATTGTGCATCCTCCTTTGATATTCTACCAGTCTCTATTCCCTACCAGTTCTGGTGCGTACCATCAGTCCCGAGTCAGCCAGCGAGTTCGGCCTCTACTGGCTCAGCGGTATCTCGATGCTTTCCCCATCTACCAGAGGCGTTAGAGACTACTGTTGGGCGGGAAATGTCCTGAATTTGGCTCAGTGGTCCCCTTGGGACATGAGGTTCTTTTACGTGCCGTAAAGCTACGACACGGGACCCACGGCTTAAAGTCCCTTGTTCCCTGAATTTTCCCGCCCTTAAAATTCCACTACCTCCGCCGGGTTTGAACCCGCGTACCTTGAGTTACGAGGTGGGAACGTTACCCCTAGACTACGGAGGCCGCTATATCACTATGTTACTTGTAATATTATGCTTCGTAACAAAACCCTTGGTCATATCTGCTTTTTGGTCCAATTATTTTGGTATTAGATACAGGTATAATTATTGTATATTTAGTTGAAGATATAGTTAAGGTCGAACTAAAGATTGAAATATGTTGTAACTATAAGACGGGTTTGGATTGGATGACTGGATTTATTCACACACACAACTCGCGACTACAGGCAATGCAGCGCCATCGCTGCTCTACACACTTCACAGTTCACCGTGGCACATGCACTGGAGTTCTCAGTCTTCATTAGTCTTATCCAGGCAACGGATTTATAACGCTCTCATTGTAACTTCAAATCGCACACGAAATCTTCTTTTCACACAGCATGATTCCTTTCTTGCCATTTCCTCTTAATCACCTTGGACTGTCATCTCCAGAGCTCGCCCCAGTTCTCAATCAAATGGGCTCTTCTTCAACTGAACTCTCTCAGCTTCTGACAGCAACTAACTTAGACGCTCTCTTTGTCCTTTTATAACCCCTCGGCACGGATCACGAGGGAAATACGGTCTCTTTATTGTAGAGAAGGCTTGCTTAGTGATCGTTGCGTAGCAATGGTCGCCCTATTATTGCGTACATTTGATTCCTCTGGAATGTGAAAATATTACATAGAGGAAATACAGTCTTTAAAGGGCTAATATAAGCATTCGACACAGTAGGTTTATTCTCTTTGGGATTATTTTGTTTTATGATATTGTATCACTGTATCAGTCAGTAAAGGTACGCAGCTTTGGTTGAGATGTAAATGGCGGATTGGGAAGGACGTAGTTGCATTCGGTGTTAATTCAAAATTATGGCATGGATCTTCCGAAAAAGCCCATAGATTTGTGAAAGTGATGGAAGAACTATCCTGTCTGATTCGGATAGACTGTGTGCACAATACGGGTTGAACGTCTGTCCGCTGTTCCAGTTTGCATAATAATACGGAGGGATTTTTCCTAGTCCTCTGATCGGCAGATCAAGATGAAAGAAATATTCAGGAAAATGTGTTTATTTACTCAAAAGAGGAAGTGTACTGTGGAATGAATGTCTCGGATTTTAATAAAGCCATTTGTGTTTCAGGTGGCATTCATTGGGTTGACGTCAGCCAAGGTGGCGGAGTCGGGTGGCATGGGCGGCTGGAACACCGCCCCGAACACACAGTACCACATTCAGACCGACGAGGGACCAGAGCGTTATTTCCGGTACCAGACGCTAAGCGGACAGTATCGCAAGGAGAAGCGACTTCAGGACGGGACAGTGGTGGGGACATACGGCTGGGTGGACCCGAACGGCTACCTGAGGCTCCGGGACTATGTGGCTGACGGCGGGGGCTACAGAGTCGTCCGTACGAAGATGCTGTTTGTCGGGAAAAACGACCCGATTGATGATGCAGTGGCGAAGAGCAAGAAAGTTCCAAGCCAAGGAGGAACCGGTGTCAATTCTCTGCAAGTGTCCTCAACTCCAGTACCTCCCGTCTCGAAGGCACCTAGCGAGGTCACCGCTCCAGCCTATGTCAACCCCATTTCTTCATATCCTTACCCCCAGCCAGATATTTCATCCAATTCTCTACTGTACCCCTCATCCACTGTTGCTCCATCTTTCGCAAACGATCTTTCCAACTCATTTAACCCCTCTGCTAACGCTTACACAAACCCGTACGTGGTAGGTAGTAATGGACAGTACCCATTAATTCCAGCCAACAGACGAACATACGATATACCGGCCTACGATCAGTCCTACCAACATAACTATGCGGCAGCTTCCGACAGTGTGCAGCGCTACCAGTCGCCCTACTCCCAGCAACAGCTGCCGCTTTATGATGGCATCTCAGCAACACAAAATGGCTTCCGATATTATCTGCCCCGCCAGTACCACGAAGAGGAGAACAGTGGAGGAGACCGGAAGGCAGGAAGTTTTGGTTACATTGACCCTTTCGGCATCAGGAGGGTAATTTATTACAGCGCAGAACCAGGAACTGGATTTGTACACAGGAAGAACAACAGATATGTAGGCTTCAACGCAACACCATATGATCCTCGGTACTGAAGATAGTTCCTACAAGCTGATCAGGTGATTCTGTTCTCCCCACTAAGATTTTATTTGTACGTTCAGAACACAGGAAAGGGCTTTGCAGTGGACATAAGCCTACATGTCAGAAGCTGGGCTTCGAAATGTAGGGCGTATATTGCGAACACTCAGTGTGAATGTTGTTACTGCAACAGAAGTATGATATAGAGACCCACCTACAGGCATTGCTGTAAATGGATACAGGATCTGACTGGGAGACGAAAAACACCGAACCAAACATAAATTGAGTTTTGTAAGTTCTCTTATAATAGAAATTGATGCTTTAACCAACATACGTTACCTCGACCTTCAATGACTGAGAACAACCCAGAGATGTTAAGGCGCGTCCATATTACTCGTGCTCGTGCTCTTGCTTTCCAGGCTTGTGCTCGTAGGGAGACTCGTCTGGCTTTACTTGTGCTCGTAAATCTTCAGTTGCTCGCTAGGCTTCGGCGCTGAGGATCCGTATATTTACTCGTAGTGTGTATAGGCTGTAGCACGAGCACGAGTAATGTGGAGGAGCCTTTAGAATTCAACATTAGATCTTACGAACTAAATATAGGCTTATAATCTTTGAAATTAACGTATAATCTCTTCCAATGACGTGCCTTGCGTAATTTTCTCAAGAAGGTACAGTATTATCTCGTCAGGAGATATGTCATTCTTCTCCTGTTACAAATATTGTTTCAAATATTTTCCCTGGTGCGTGTTGATGAAATACGGACGCATATACAGCTACGGACTGCGTGATAGTTCTATGTCTTCAATCACAGTATCTAGACACAAAACTGATCCCAGAACAGAATAAGTTCGGTGATCAATTTCTACATTTTCGCAATCAAGTTTGTGTACATGAACTTTGTATCTCAGTGACTTAGGCCGGATGTCTTGTCGGTAAGTCTTTTCTTTTCCTTACAAACCTGTGGGCTCTGGAGCCAATTCAGCTGATGCTGGGGGCAGATCGCTTGACGGTAAACACGGTTAAACAGAAAGCTGCCCGCTCCCATGTTGCAGTGAAAGCTATGAAATTATGAAGCCCCAATTCTACACCCTGAAACGCTTATCTTGTTATGTTTTCTACCCCCAAAAAAATGCTTTGGGAGCTGTAACACCAATATCCGCATCACGGAGAATCGTTTCCTTGCTTCGTCGACAAATGTACGCATCCCTTTCTGCATGACAGGGGCTTAACTCAGACCGTTTTGTGGCTTCAGGGTAAAACAGGTAGGCTTACCTTGAATCTCTTTTCCAGTCAGCTCGATATTCTTTCATTCATGTATTTTACTGACGTTTCGTGCATTTCTGTCTTCGGTCGATTCGAACTTAGAGAACTTAACGCTGCTGTCTGCGCAGTAAGCTGTTTTTAAGAAATGTAATAAAAACTCAGTGGCTTGAGTCCGCAAGAGAACTATACCGATCGAGCGACTGCCGCTTGTCGGCGAAGTTAGTGCCAACTTTAGCAGATAGAGGGTGTTGCATGGTCGGTGCAGCGAATCCCCACATCCATTATTTTCGATTTACTAGACCGGAGTCGCTATTTCTTTGAAATAGCTCCTCAGTTATCCTCATGAAGCTGAGTGGACCTCGTTCCAGACTCACTGCTTCTAAANCCGGAGTCGCTATTTCCTTTAAATAGCTCCTCAATTATCCTCATGAAGCTGAGTGGACCCTGTTCCAAACCCACTGCTTCTAAGAAAATCTGGTAGCGCCGGAAATCGAAGCCGGAACCTCTGGATCTGTAGGCAGGAATGCTGACCACTAGACCACAGAGGCGGTCACGAAATGTAATAACAATTATAAAACTTTATCTTCTGGGATGTAATGTCCTGCAAAAGGTAAAATTGTCCCTGTGCTTACCTAATTAAGCAGTACACCATGAAGACGTATGGAGGAATGAATGTATAGATCCATATTTTCTTGACCTCGGCATTAGCTCGAGGTGAGTGGTCAGTTTCACGCCTCGGCCACTTTACCCCCGGGGAACGAGTCGTCGGTACCCATTTGCTAGGAGGCTGAGTGGGCCCCAGAGCCGGTCTGGACGACGCGGAGAAGGGAAAATTCCTGACCCTACCAGAACTCAAATTCCGACCTCTCGGTCGTCCAGCCTGTAGCCAGTCGCTATACCGACTGAGCTATAATATCCTATAGTCTGTTGAAAGTAAGGCGACGTTTCGGAGGACCATTTAAACTCGAAACAAACCACCATGAAACAGACAGCAATTCTCCTCCTCCTCTGTTGACTTTGAAGGGGCTGAGCAACAGCATATCCCAGAAGATAGAACTCACCGTAGCTACTGCTGTGACACCTCAAATCCTACATAGTAACATTTAGCCTGGTAGTAGAACACCCGGCCGTTATAGGCTGGTGCCGTAG